AGCTAACTAGTTTTTTCAAGATAGATGATTTTTACATACTCCAATTAATTCTTACACACAAAATTATATGGAATAAAAATTATTATTAATTTCAATAGGAAAGACAACATATGGAAAAAAGAATCAGAATGAAGTACACATGATCTCTTATTTAGGTTTTAATTTATACAAATAAACACATGTATGTATAAATCTTACAAATGCATACAAACATATATAGGAGAGGCAGAGAGACTTTAACTGCTCGTTTTGTACTTCTTGATACTGTTTACATTTTCAAAACATGTAGCTGCATTTTTTCACATTAATAGGACTACTTGAATAGAGATTAGGGTCACTTTATGTTTTCTCCTTTACATTATTTTTTTTTAACTTTAATGAATATCATTTTGTAAATCTGTTTAAGATAACACACAGAATTATAAATACCTTATTTATTTTTTAACCTGTAATGATTATTTAAAATAATGAAAAAATTAAGGAAGAAGAATTAAGTGGGCAACTGATTAAAGTATTACACAGACATGTATTAAAAAGTCCTATGTATACCCAATAAAGAGAAAAAAATAACATAGAAATATGTTCATGATATGAAAAACAATAAGAAAGAACATTTTGGCCTCATTTTTGGAAAGTTTAATAAAAACATTGACAATAAAAGTATTAAAAAATGGAAAGATTCTTATTAATTGATTCAACAGTCAATTACTGAATTCCTTTTATGTCATCATAATGATCTGGGCACAGAAAACATGGAGAGGACGAGCTGCCCTGAGGCAGTGAAAAGATTCAGGAACTACCAGGAGAGGGGGACTTATCCGTAAGTGATCACCCAAAGAGCTATCCAAGTGTAGGGGTACCATGGTAGACTGTCTACAAGTACAGTCACCAAAAATTCCTCCCACCTCTGAATGCTCATGCCACTCTTCCCATTAAAAAATATAATAAAAAGTCTATTGTTCCCTCCACTTGACCCTAGGCTTGCAATCTGCTCTGACAAGTATAATGTGGCCTAAGTAATACTGGGCCAGTTCCAAGCCTAGATATTAAGAGGCTTGGAAGTTTGTACTTTTGTTTTCTTGCTACCTGAAAGGCCACGTACTTTATGATAGTCCGAAACTATCCTGCAGGAGATAGATACCAAGAGAAGAGAGAAGCCCTATGGGGTGAGTGACAACAGGTGGAGGCAGAGAATACAAAGATAATAACTAAGGTGCCTCAGTAGACAACCAGCATCACAGCCCCACACCGGAAATAAGGGCATCTTGGAGCCTTCACCTTAAGACAACGTGCCGCCAATGGTAGCAAATGAAACAGAGATGAGATGTCACCACTCACCCTTGACCAAATTTCTAGCCCACAGAATCATATGCCCCCAAAAAAGGCACTTTTGAGGTGATTTGTTTGCTGCAATAGATAACTGAGACAAAAAATGGTACTTGGAAAGGGTAGTCCCGTAACACTAAAACATTCAATACTGGCTTTTAGGACAGAGGGGCAAGCAGGAGCTGAAAGGGTAAGAAGGAAACTGGAACAGAAGTAAGAACACTGCTACAGGAGGCTAGGGTGAGCCATATATATACTGGCAGAATAATTAGCATAACTATCACATGAAGTAACTTAGAATATTAAAAATAAACCTAGTGAACCTCTAGATCTAGCTAAGAACATTTCCTGGCAAAATATTCAAAGTGTCAGTGGCTTCTTTATAGCCAAATATGAGAAGGTACATGAAGTAAAACATAAGCTAAAGAATTACAAGCAGTATTTAAAGGAATATTTCTAACCAGGAGTTGCTTGGCTGGAAAATAACTGTTTCTCATCACTAGCTTCTATAGATAGCAAAAATTGTCAAAGCAACAACATGAGGACAAAGATCAAATCCACAGTGCTCCCAATAAAACATGGGCTCACAATCATTAAATCAAAAATACATTTCTGTGATCCTTGTTAAGACCTGCAAAAGACTTAATAAGACAGTCCTTGCATATTCTCTCAGACAGGCTAAAGGGCTTCTAAGAAACTTATAGGACCATAATTTGGGATCCAAAGTAGAGAGTCCTGTCTTAGAAAAAAATGTGGATATGACTTTGTCTAAAGGAATGCACTTAGAAAATTCAGTATTCAATAGAATTCTATCAGTTTGGACTAAACAAAAACAAAAAACAAAACAGTTTGAAATCAAAAAATGCCTTTAAGCCTTTAAACTGTCACATACATAGACTTAAACTGCTCTACAGAAGCAAACAAGACCCATTTCCTATGGAAAAGTAAAAACAACTCAGAGAATAGAGCCAAGAGCCCAAGGGACCCAGCCAATAGCTGTAGAAAATAGTGAATTATGAACCCACTACCAGTAGACAAAACCAAGACATAATCAAAGAGCACTCTGTACTCCCTGGTTAGGTTTCAGAATTGCTCTAGCCCAAAGGCTATAAGCTTCCTGTTGTTTCACTCTCCAATGGAAGTACCTATTGTGGTTGACTGTCCTGTCTCAAAATTGTGTATTCTATGTGTGTGTGTGTGTCTGTGTCTGTGTGTATTGAAGGGGGGTGAGGGGAGGGGTGTTTTAACTTCTCTTCTTACTTCCCAGATTTTCAAATCAAAAGGAGCTGCACCCACGGAGCTTCATTAACATACAACCTAAAATAATCATAAGATACTGGACCTTGAACCTGAGGTCATAACTGGATGATATTTCTGGGCACCTTAGGAAGAGTGAGTGTGTACTGCAGGTTGGACAGACGTCAGTTCTCCAGAGGAGAGTTGTGGTAGTCTATCTGCAGAAAATGCTGCCAACAATTCCTCCTATTGCTATACACAGATACTACTCCCATCTAATTCTCCTTCCCTTAAATCTTGGCAGACACTGTGTTCTGCTTTGAAAAACAAAGTTGGTATAAATGAATGCTATGTAGTTTACAGGCCTATCCCTTAATAAGCCAAGAAACTTGTTTCTGTTCTCTTGCTACCTTGATTCACCATGTAAAGAAATTCAGCTATCTTTCTAGAGAGAGAGGCCAAGCAGAGAGGAAAGCCCTGGCTGATGAGCAAACAGGTCACATAGAGAACAAATGAGGTGGCTCAACTAAAGGCCAGCAGTAAGGCCCCCCTGGATCCTCTAGCCTCATTCCGGCTACCTCAGTCAACATCTTGGGGACCACACCAAGGTATTCCCACCCAAAGCCTGACTCTAAAATTGTGAGCAGTAAAATAGTTGTAATTTTAAGCCACTGGCTTTTGGGGCAATATGTTATTCAGGAATGGATAACTGATAAAGGTAATAAGTACAACAAAGGCTACATAGGAAAAGTGCAGAGTACTTTCTAAGAGTCAGTAATAGGAATCCTACTATAATCTGGGACTTAAGGAAGGTTTTCTTGAGAAGTGATATTTTAACAGTGGCTATCTAACACAATTTAATACAGGGGGAATTATGAATAGGAATTTCGTTTGTTTCTTTTAAGTTTGTTTTCCTAAATTTTCCATATTGTACATGTTTTAGTTTTCAAATAACAACACAAATGTTATTTTGTTAAAACCTCCTGAAGGATATTGTTGGCAATTTATACTGCTTCTACTGCATTTAAATTTATTAAGTCTAAAATATATTTCCTCATGACAAAATATGCAAACATGTTAGCAAATAACAAAAGTTTTCTATTATCCTATCTAGTTGAAGAATGAGATATTCTGATTATATTAACATTCCAAGAAATAAACAGCATATATTGGCTTAACAATTTCTGAAGAATTTTAATGTATTAAAACACAATTAACCTAAAATTACACCGCTTGTAATTTAATATCACACTTATTTTAGAAAAGGTTTATGTAATTACTCAGTTATTGCAAATAGATGTGGATAATGTAAGTGAGAATTAAGTAATACTATAGTAGGATTCAGAGTGGAAATGACCCAAAAAGACTACAATAATGGACTGAAACCAAGAAGAAAAAATTAAACAGAAGTAATTGAGACAACGTACATACTTAGGGTTAAAAATAAATCAACCACAAAAGTACAAGAGGAAAAAATAATCCACCGTAGCATAATGAAAAGCTTGGGTTTTAGATCACAGTATATTGGCTAATAGTAAGAAAGCCACATCAGCATAAAAAATGTTAATGCAATCTCAGACTTCATTAACGCATTTAATTAAAAATATTTACTGAGAACCTAAAATACACCAATTACTTTACTAAGAGAATACAGTGCCAAGATTCAAGAAAGGAAAAACCTTATTTAGAACTAGTCAAACTATTTTTGGAATATTAAGTCCATATAAAAGAAATGATTGAAAAAATTAGAGAAATATGAACTATAAAAGAAGACTCTCTAATTTGAATATTGCCCTAAAAGAAGAAAGCTCTTTAAACAATTCTTTCGTTTTACTGAAATAAATTAATGACTACTATGTGATGAGTATTGTGCTAGGCACAGGGATATTACATGAAGAATAAAATAAATAGTGCCCTCACTCTACTTAATTGGTCTAGTGAGCACTAATAGCAGGTACCAAATAGTAATCTGTCAAGCATATTATAAAAGAGATTCATGAACTTTATGTAAGGCTGAAATAAATGAACTCCAATGTTACTTCCAAATCTACAATTTCATGATTACTTACTTACAGTAATAAGTAATAATGTAAAATATTACCATAAAATAATTTAATTGTGATTCTGAGGTAAGTAAATGTCTAATAAGTAAAATAACAGGCAAACCAACATACAACACATATATACACACATGAGTTTTTATATTTCCACCTAATAAAATAACATGTCAATTCATTTGTTCAGCTTTCAAAGGCAAACTACACAAAATCAATTTCAATCCACGTTAGGAAAATCCAATTTCAAATTTTTATTTCATTTCAAATGTCAAAAATTTTTTAAATATCCTTATCTGAATGATTATCTTACTCTAGTCAAAATAATTCCAAAGAAATGAGTATCTATGATTTCTCTGGGATGTCTAATATTAATTAATATACCTTTCCATGGCTTTAGCTGTATAAGGCAAATGCATTTCAATACTGTGTTCATCTTCATCTGTTTGCAGAGACATGCGTTCAAACATTCCTGTCTTCCACAGTTCTCCGTAAACTAAAGAGATTTCAAAATATAGTAAAACAAATATATTAATGTATATCCTTATCCTGTGAGACTCCACCCAGTAACACAAAATACCTACATGCTTTGGCAAGAGACAAAGCACCGTATAATATTCTCCTTCATTTATATTTTTTAAAAGGAAGAAAAAACTAATTTTTTACATGCCAGCAAAAACAAGAATACATGTAATGACTTAGCATTTTCTTATGTTATATAGTTACATAAAAAATATATGTATATTAGTTATATAAAAAATAGTAACTCAGATCTTTCATCAGTTCCTTTCATTGTATCTAAAATCAGCTCTAGACCTAAGCTTTTCCTTGACTTTAGTCAGCATATGCTAGCAAGAACATAGTTGATTAGAACTCCTATTAAAATATGAAATAACCACTGTGCTGCTTATTCATGAGGTTAATAATATAGTTTCTGAATTTTTACTTTTAATAATATATATGGGATTCAATCTGCCACCTCAGGATCCTGCCATACTAAGAACAGAAAAACCCCATTAAGAATATTATTTCCCTCAAAGTTAAATATTAAGTTTGTGGGATTGACCAGTACATAAATTCACCACAGTGCCGTTGTGTGATACTAAAACAATCTAGCAATTCAGACCCTTCTGATGAACTTAAAACTAGATATTATATAAGAAAAAGAAGAAACTTAATATGTAAAAAGAGGAGATATAAGACAGTTTTTAGAGAGATATAGAACAGAACCAAGATTTTTATAACTACGTCCTTAAATGGGTTCACCAATACCAAAGAAAGAATTAATGACTTTTTTCTACAAAATCATCCTGCCATTCTTTCATTAGCAGGCCAAAACCAAAATTTTCTGAATGTCCCAATAATGTTTTAAAAATAAAGTGTGTTCCCTAAAACTATCCCAGGAATAAGGCTAGTTATACTCCAACTTCATTCATAAAATATATATTCTAACAACAAATTGCTAATCCTCAATCATACTTAAAACCCTACAGTATTAAAACATAGGTATAAAAAATAAAAGAGATGCTCATTTCCTTTGCAAATGCTTGTTTCATTCTACAGAAGAATTTGTTGCAAAATTTCTTGAAACAATAAGCACCCAACATACTTAAAATATACAGTTGACCCTTGAACACATGGGATTGAACTGCGTGGATCCACTTATGAGATTTTTATTCAATAATATAGTGGAAAATTTGTTGGAGTTGCATCAGTGTGGAAAAACTTTTCTCTAGCTTACTTTAAGACTACAGTATATAATAAACATACCATACAAAATAAGTGTTAATCAACTATTTGTTATTGGTAAGGCCTCCAGTCAACAGCAGGCTATTAGTAGTTAAGTTCTGGGAGTTAAGTTTTGGGGGAGTCAGTGTTATGCAGAGTTTCAAGCGCACAGGGGATTGCGGCAGCTAACTCCCACATTGTTCAAGGTGAACTGATGAGCTGGAGGAACACACAGCAAGTTCATGATGGTGGTTACTTTGACGGTTACAATGTAAATTGAGTTTAATGAGGGGAAAATTCTGAGTCAATTGTAGATAAGAACATGAGTATTGGTTACATTATTCTCTGTACTGTTCTATATTTTTTAAATTATGCTCCCCCACTCATCCAAAAATATTATTATAAAGTCAAAAGGTTTTACTTTACACATTCAATGTATAAGATGAAATACAACTATATGAAAAAATGTGAATTTTGGAATCCTATGGAAAAAATAAATCAAAATAATAGACATGTTTTAAAAATAAAATACACTTAAGATTTATGTAGTACATTTCTTTCAGTTTCACAACTACTGTCTCATTTTTTCTCATAAACATCATTTGAGAGGAAGCAAAGGCATTATCACCATTATCTTATTTACAAGGAGGAAAGTGATATACAAAGAGGTAGACTACCATGCCCAGAATTTTTCATTGAGTTGTTGTGGGTACTAATTTCTTGTCTCACAGTACAATGAGTACATGGCATTTCCCTGAATATAAATGCACTACAGTCTGGAGACTAGTGGTTCTGACAGATTTATGTGACTGGCAGAAAAACTGTAGTTGTTTTCTATGCATATGGAGAATTTTCTTTCATTGTCTTTGTTTTCTGCAGATTAGTTACAACAATCTCTAATTTTAACTTGGAGATACTACCTATGATATTCATATTTATTTTTAATTAGTATAACTCCTACTTCTAAAAAATCTTTAGCTGTTTAAAAGCTGTAAGATTTCTATATACTTACTCTTTTGGTCAATACGAAGGTCATAAAGAGGTGTCCTATATATATCCACACTGGAAAGTGCACATCGAGAGAGGGGCACATGATGAGAAGGCCCAAGGATGAAAATTCTCCGGCTAGGAGATACACAACAAAAAACAAAGAACAATGGCACTTCTACACAAGACTTACTAAATAATGGGACCAAAAAATATAATTTTTAAAAATTACATGTGGTACTGTTTTCCTTCTTCACTGATTTCATCAACCACTACTGTGGGCTAAACTGAGTTCCCCTAAAATTTATATATTCAAATTCCACCCCCAGTACCTCAGAATGTAATGTATTTGGAGATAAGGTCTTCAGAGAAGTGATTAAGTTAAAATGAGGCCAGTAGGGTGAGGCTTGAATCCAGCATGACTGGTGTCCTTGTAAAAAAAGGAAGACACATACAGAGAGAGGCAACGTGAAGAGGCATCAAGAGGACAGCCATCTGCAAGCCAAAGAGAGAGGCTGCAGGAGAAACCAACCCTGCCAGCGCCTTTGATCTTGGACTTTCAGCCTCCAGAACCGTGAGAAAATTAATTTCTGCTTTTTTCAGACAGTTTTTGTGACAGTACTAACAAACTAATATACCTACTAATGACATGTTCCTAATTTTAATTAGGTTCAATTCCTTATCTCTGTGTTTTGTTGGAAAGCCTTCCAATACCTGGAAATACCAGTTGATGATTATCTATAGTAAATAAATCTTCTATGCTTAAAATCATCTCTGTATTCACAATGGCTAGGATACAGAAAGTTTTCAATAGCTATATTAATTGAATTTTGAACATTTCAGCTATTAAGTAAAATCTCAAAATTCTAACACATTCAACTCACCTTGTAAGACCTACCACAATTTTAATAGAAATATGTAATTGTATAAATTCTAGAAATCCATACAAATATCACTACAAAGAAGCTTTCTGATAAAGATACTTCCACATTTCTTCCATGGCAAAGAAGAACAGCATCTTGTTGAGAACAATTCTGTATAATAAACTTTCTCTGTTCCCATTCAAGTAGCAGTCATTCTCAAACACAGAGAAATTTGATTATGTGTTATTTGCGCAGTAGTCTAAAGAAAAGAACTGGGCTGAACTGCAGCTTAAATCTTTACAATCCCTTTATCCCAACATCAAGAGTAAAATTAAGTTCCTCTCATTTTACCTCAAACATCCCTACAATCTAAATTCCAAAACGATCCAGATTCATAGGAACAGAACTTCCCCTACCACACACACACACACACACACACACACACACACACACACAAACACACACAAAGTTACAGACCCAAAACAAACAAAACTATGACAAAGAAGGGAATATATGATAGTTTCTGTGCCTTAGAAAATTAAACACTATTCATTCACTCTTCAATTAATAGCCAAAAGACTGAGAAATGAGCTAGTTCTTTCATATCGAAAACTTGCAGGACAAAAACTGCTAGCAATACTTATTTTGATAAAGTTATATTACAGCTAAGACAATTAACCTATGGTCTGATATATGTTACTTGTAGAGGGAAGGCGGGGGCAGGGGTGGATAAGGAAAAAGCAATTCTCAGTTTAGAGTCCCAAAACTTCGAGATGTCACTCATAGCAACACCACACAAACACAAGACTTCATCTCTAGACCATTTCTAGTCAGAAACACCGCCTTTTTCTCCCCCTCCCTCCACTGCTAATACTCCCTTTTTGACATCATTTCTATGATCAACCTAATAACCATTTCAGAAAAAAAAAGATAAAATCTGTAGATTCCTAAATGAACAAAAGAGGTACAATTATGTTCTCTCTTAACATACATAAATATCATCACAATTTTTTAAATTAAAGTCTAATGTGGGACATAGATAATGGTAACTCTCTTTAGGTGACTTGCCTAAAGACAGGTAAAATCAAGTATGAAAAAAAGGCAGTTTTGTGATTGAGGAATGCATTTCTATGAAAAGAAAGAGGGATAGAATATTTAAAATCAGAACATTCCTGGGCAATCTAGGATATATAATTAAAATAAGAAACGACTTCTAAAATATCAATTTAAACTCAAGGCATAGATACCTTTCATAGGTAAGTGTAGTAAGATTCTAACAGTGGCCAAAAGATGAGCACTACTCCAGAAATAAACACTGGACGTGTGGGCTTGGGAAGCTTAACTGCCTCCTCCAATGCCTATTTACCTTACATGCCTTTTTGTCAGACACAACTTAAATGAAAAGATTAAGAGTTGGTGGGGAAAAGAGCTCCTACCAGTGTGAATTAACCAACTGCATACCCAATAGATTCTTTCTGTTTGGCAGAAACTTACCCATTAGCAAGACAGTGAAGTTCCACATTTGGTTAAAAGACATCACAGGAAAAAAGCAGTTTAGGTCCCATCAATACAAAACCCTTAAAAGTGATGCACCCCAAACAAATATAAAAAAGGCTAGGTGTCATTGGAAAAAAGGAGAAAAAAATCATATTAAACCAGCAGTAATCTCAAAATGGTTCTCTTTGTTATATTCTAACAAAAAGAAAATTAACAGTGTAAATAAAAAATACACATTATCTTTTTTTCCTTGATTGCTGGATCCATAGACACCAAGGCTATAGGAGTATTTTGGAGAGAAATAAGTAATACAGGCATTGGGAGCAATGCCACTTTATCCTTTCAACTACCTGCAAGGTGCTTTGTCTTTAAAGGAGTAACTTTTAAATATTAGCATATCTTAACTTTTGCCACACATGTAAAACCTTTAATTTGAAAAAGCAATTAGTATACATTCTCTTAGAAATAAATGTAGTTCACATATAATATGCAAGAGAATTGACATTTGTGGATTTACTGACCATAATGAGTATAGTCTGGTGTAGTCTGTGTGCCTAATAAATAAGTTACCCTATTGTCTGCACTCACTATTTATTCTAAATAATGGTACACAAGTAATTTTTTCAAGATATTTCATAGCAAGTGGAGATATTTTAAATAAAAGAATAAAATGTCATGTGGCTCCAAAGAAGGTTCCTTTTTACTCCCTTTTTCTGCACTGACAGGTTTTCTGAAAGATCAAGTTTCTAGCTAAGTACATCCTGAATTCCAGGCTTTCAATTAAGTTTTAGTAATAGAAGAGATTTTGCAACTACAAATAGGGAAAAGAACTTAATAAAATGTATTGTTTTTAAATTCCTTAAACAGCCAGAGCGCTCCATTTGAAATATATCAGATCATATCACTTCCCTACTTAAGGCTTTTCATGGTCAGAAGAACACATCCAAAATCTTTAAAATGGATTCTACCGCCTCAAATTAACCAAACCCCTTCTTGTATTACTCTTCTCCCACTGATCACAATTCTTTTTGTGTACACAAACAACTTTGCCTACTTCAAAGCTTTCAAACTATTATTTCTTTTGCCTGGCTTAAAAATCAGTCCTTCAGAGATGCCTTCCCCAACACTCTATCCTTACAACCTAAATCCAATCACCCTGTGTCACAGCAGTTCTTAGAGTGTGAACTATGGATTCCCTCAGGACCCTTTCAAGGAGTCCACAAAATCAAAACTATTTTCATAATAATACAAGGAAGTTATTTATCTTTTTCATGGTGGTGACATTCACACTTCCAGTACAAAAGTGAGGCTAAGTAAACCACTGCCAAATTAGAACTACCATCAAGGTAATGGAATCAAAACATTACTGTCATTATTCTTCACCTTCACCCACACCAAGTTTTTTTCTTTTTTAAAGCCAATTTCACTTACTTCATTAATTCTTGAAGTTGGAGTACAGTTTTATAGAAATACCCTGTATGACAACAAAATAGATTCAATTCGTGGTAAAAAATACATAAGCATTTTTGCTGCGTACTGAAGTACGGCTTCAAGGTAAAGCATTTGTGTGATTTTGAGTCATGAGCTAGACTAATCTCTTTTCTCATGGACTAACAATTTTTACTACTAAAAATGATGGTAGACAAATTATTACTCCAATTTAGCTATTTGGCAGAAATTTTCTAGAAAATAAGCAAAATGAGCCTGTCATGTCAACAAAAACATTGCCAGTGATAAAACTGAAACTTTTAAGTGAAAATTAGACTTTTGTAAAACTTACCACTGTGAGATTGATAGCTTCCCAATAATTAAAGATTTTTCTGATGAAATTAGTGGTGATATTAACAAACGGGATTTTTTGATATAGTATGATGAAATGTCAACATTTGAAAGACCTGCATAACCCAATGAACAAATATTCTCCAATGTTCCATGCAAGATGTTACAAAATCATACAAAGGTAAAGATCCATCAAAGTGCAATACAGTACAAAAGATAACCCTAGTTAATAGGTAGAGAATGGATTAGTGTGGAAGGTAAGAATGGAAGCTAGTCGTATAGAATTTAACCTTCTCTCTAGGACTGTTATTTTTCTCTACACTTCATAGCTCCCAAAATCCAAAAGGATGCTCTTTATTTTCTCAAAGGACTCTAAAGACACTGCAGATCTCAGGTATGGCCACTTACAGGAGACTACAACTATGATTGTCAATCATTATTTTTAACACTTAGATCTTCAAATTTATTCAGAATTCAATTATTATACACTAACTACAAAAATAAACTGATCATATTATCATGCACTTTTGCCTCTCTTTCTGCTGATTTCCTTTATCATTATCTTCTTAGTCCCTGGCTCGTTTCCCTTTTTATTCTTTCTTCTTTTATTCTCACTTTCCATCAACTTATTTAACATACACTTTCCACTTCTACCAATATAGGTTCTGTACCTCACAATATGTTCCTAGGCCAAATTTAATTCAGGGGTACTCTTTCAACACATAACATCATCAATAAAAATTCTGTTAAATAGAAAAAGGTTTGGAAAACACTGTTATATAAACTAATCTTGATTATAGCACATTTATAGAACCAAGATCAAATGATGAAAGCTTCTGAAAAACTTTTACAATTTCTATTTGCTCTTATTCATAAAACATATTAGTTAAAGTTTTATATTAAGTATGTATCAAGAGATTTGTTAAAAACACTCCTCAAAGCATTGTGAATGAAGCATGACTAAAACCTTACCAACTCATCATTTTATTATTAAAAATTTATTAAGAATGATTTTCAAAAGAAGAACAGCTTTTTTCTGTTTTAAAAATTTGAAGAAATCATTCAAAGGCAAAGGAGTAAACTGGGGGTGAGACTTTCTTTATAAATTCATGAGTTATGAATTTATTCTGCTGTGAGTTACTTCTTTTGATGATTATGCTTCATCTCTACAGGTACAGATCTAACCTAATAATAAATATTTGGCCAAATTAAGATGATCCATTTTACTTATTCACATAGTGTGTATACAACTGGCAATACAGATTGGAGCCTGATATTGGTTCACATATAATGAATTAACTATTTAAGTAAAACATTGGTCAGCAAATTAAGTAATGTGGGTGGCTATTTCCCAGCAGAAGTGTTTGAAAGTTCTACAAATACCTTATTTTCTAGAGTACTTTACTATTTAATCAGTCCCAATTTGCCAGGAAGATTTTTTTTAAACTAATTTCAGAGCTGTCATTGAATGATTAAAGAGTTAATATAGTACTTAATTCACTTCAGATTCTTTAAAAAATCGATTATCTTATCCTGTCAGTGAGAAATTATTTTCTCTCATTAACTACAACTTAACAAGTGAAATAATTTTAAATTACAAAGTTATTAAAACAGGACAAAGAACTTTGCATTTTCCTTTAAATTGTTCATCTCCAGGTTTTCAAGGAAAAATTTTAAAAAACAAAATATTTAACCTTCTAACATTTCGAGAACTAAACACTTACCTATCAAAAGAAAGGTAAAAACTAAATGTTCAGACAATGGAAAATAGTATTAAAGATTTCATAACCTGTAAAAGGTATAATCAAATACATAAAAGGTCAAATTCCTGATGAAATCAAGTTTATGATAACAATAAGTATGCAAAACAAACTACTGTGACAAGTGATTATGATGTAATTCCCAATCTTCTCCCACTTAAACAGAACTATAACTATATTACTTACGTAATAGACGGATCCACTTGTTTGTAAGCATGAGCAGCACAAGACCCACAATAGGTGTATCCTGCATGGCTATAAAAGAAAATATTTTTAGTCTTAATCATCAGAATAAAAATCAAGATTTTCTAGGGGAAAAAAAACTTGAAAGAATATAGTAACTATAGTAAATATAACAGAATTGAGTGTATAGCTTATAAAGGAGTGTAGCTAATGATGTAACCTCCAGAAAATAATAGAGAACGCACAATTGTTCTGTATTCTAATTTAAAATTTTAAAAAGTATTTGTAATTTTTTTGGTCCAAAGGACAATCAGATCTTAAGATATTTCAAAGCCTACTTGAAGTTGCTAATATAACACTAATGATATATGTTTTTTAACATGCCTTTTCAGTAACATTAGCAGATTATCACATAACAGTAAGATCAAGAGCAAGCAAATCAGACCAAAACAAATACCCTGCAACTAGCCACTCATTTCTGTGTCTTCAGGGGCAAAAGAATTAACATGGCTTTTTGTGCATCATGCCTTTCATGTTCTCTCCCTATTACTTTTCTCTTTTATCCTCTGGTCTAAACTAAGCATCAGATTGCTTCACTTACCACCTATAGAGTAACTTTGTTTCCTGACCTAATTTTTCTTTCTTGACTCATTCAAGTTACATGAGTTTAGAAACCTTTCCCTCAGTGCTTACTTATTAGTGTGTGGTCAGTGTTACACTGGTAAATGTTTAACAGCTGGCTCTGCAGAAAAAAAATAATGTATGCATATGCACATAAAGGTATGTATAACACAATTTTAAAATGATGAAAAAATATATAATACTCTTTACTGCAATTTACATGGTGAATACCCATGACCAACTGATTATCACAGAATGCTTTTACTGATTTTGCTGAGCTCTGATATGCATAGTCAGTCAATGACTGCAATTTCAAGAGTGGAACAATTAAGATATATGCCTAAACTTCACTCATTCAAATGTGATGTTGACTTCTTTACTGATTACAGTTTTCAGGTACTAGAAAGAATATCTCTTTCCTCATTCTTTTGTGATATTCACAATGTAAAGGCTACAGACATAACATAATTTTAGCATTATTAACATTTTCCCCATAATTTAAGTTAGACAATCAACAAACAGTAAATAAAGTTCCAATTTATAGCAATTTGCCAATTAATGTGGAGTAAATCATTGCCACCACAGCCAATTTCAAGATGCACAGTTAAATTGAAAAGACAAAACGCAGACTGGGAGAAAATTGTAAAAAACATTATCTAATAAAGGATTTATATCAGAATATATCAAGAAATTTCAAAACAAATCCAATACTTTAAAAAAAAGAAATAGGTAACTTTGTAAGACAGAGTTCTGAAGATAAGTTGCATAACAATGTTATTACCTTAACTCTACTGAACTGAATAAGTGATTATGGTGGTTAAGAAGGGAAATTTTATGTTATGTGTACTTTACCACAATTTTCTTTAATAGGAAAAGATACCAACAGATTTTTCATCACAGAATACAAAGGGATAGCAAATAAACACACAAAAGAATAACATCATTTAGTCATTAAGGAAAGGCAAATTAAAACTACAGTAAGCTACCACAAAACACCCACTAAAATGGTTACAATTTAAAAGTGCCCATACCAAGTAAGGTAATTATATTAAATTGAAACTCAATCTATGCCTGTGGAAATGGAAAACGGTTCAAATACTTTGGAAAACAGTTGACAATTTCTTACAAAGTTAAACATATTCCTACAATACGACCCAGTCATTCAACTCCTAAGGAAAATGAAAAAGCACTATGTCCACACAAAGACTGTACACAAATGTTCATCCCAGCTTTTATCTGAAATAGCCAAAAACTGGAAACATCCAAATGTCCCTCAGAAGGGTAAATGAATAAACTAATTGAGGTTTATCCTTACAATGGAATACTTTTCAGCAATAGAAAGGAGCGAACTTTTGGCACACTCAAAATAGCTATGCTAAAAAATGGTAAAAAAAATTACAGAAAGAAATATGCTGAGAGAAGCCAGACAAAAAGAGGTCATACTATATGATTCCCATTTAAATAACTCTAGGAAATAAAAATTAATCTATAGTGACAGAAACTAAATCAGTGTATGGGAGGAATGGCAGAGGACTGAAGGTTAGAATTACAAAGGGGCACAAGAAACCTTTTAAGGATGATGAATATGTTCATTATCTTAATTGTGGTAATAGTTTCACAGGAGGGTACATATTTCAAACTTATCAAATAGGACGCTCTAAATATATGCAGCCATGTGTTAATCATAGCACAATAAAGCTCTATTTTGAAAATGGTTCTCATCTGAACAAGCTTACGATAGGAACTGAGAAAGAAAGATTCACATATGTCAATCACAGCAACACAAGATAAGTAGTATGCTAATCAGGAGTTAAGTGATGTATGGGACATACATTTAAGCACACTGAAATCACTGAAGGCTTTATTGGTTAGATTAGTGTTACTCACTTTATCCTTATATCTTTGGCAAGGGAGCCTGTCAAGTTGTCTCAGTATAGCAAGTCTTGCAACCCAGTTCTAAACTTAGCCCGAAGGAAATACAGGTGCTCTATTGCTCAGCACATTCAGTTTTGCTGCCATCCTACACAGATCTGGATACTCTAGCCTAACCAGGGGCTCTATGTCTTCTGGTTGTATCACCAATATTCCAGTACCGAAGACCTCAATACTGAATGCTTCAGATTCCTATGTCAATTCAGAAATATGCCATCTTGCCTGGCCATGTGGACCTTAAGAACATGTGATCCATAAGTATCTGCCCTGATCTTTCCCAAACCAGAATGACATCTTAGATTTTGACACAGCTTTGCTCTCTCGGTAGTCACTCATATTCCACCCCTCCAAGTCCCAATCCTTATACGTAAACTGGTCCATCTTAGATCTGCTTTTCAGACTTTAGTTCCTATTTTCCATTCTTGAATTTAAAGGTCCTTACCCCCATCCACATTCTATTCTCAAAATCAACCTTTCTTTCTAGTCTGTGAGTCTCCCCTGGTCTTATCAATCCTATTCCTATTTCCAAGCTCAGGTCTGAAAAGACAGAAAATCTTCTTAAAAATACTGGATTCTGGAAGTATGGACAGGACAGAAATAGTAAGAGTAGAAGGTAATAAGGGCACGAAAGAAGGGCATAAAAGTTGAAGAAAGAACATGAGGAAATGTCCAAGTATATGATGTAGATGAGAAAATATGAGACTACCCTGAGTGCAACAAGAGAATAATGCTAAACCACAGTCAATCTGAAGAGTCTGGGCTTGATAAAACAAGTTACCTGTATGCTCTTGAGCAGAGGAGTGGCAATATGAAACTGTTATTAGCCTAATACTGAACAACATGAGCACAAAGGACAGATCAGAGGTAGGAGGTGGTAAATGAAGCTCTCTTTGAAATTGTGGCATGAGGTAATAATGTCATGATCTAGAATGGTATCAGTGAGAAATGAGAAATGAATGCTCTAGAGTTGAAAAAGAAAAACTGACATAGCCTAGTGACTAAGTAAGTATATTCAGAAGTGGACAATTGTGATAATGGGAATAACTAACATTTACTGAGAGCTTATTATGTGTCAGGCACTCATCTGTGCAATACAGAGCATTAACTCATTTAATCCTCACACAAACCCTATGAGATAAGAATTATTACTTTTCTCATTTTTTTGGATGAAGAAACTAAAGTAGAAAAGTTAAGAAACTTGCTCAAGGTCATGCCAGGATTTAAAGCCCATAGTAAGAGCTCCAGAACCCATTCTTAATCACCGCAGGAGAACTTTACACATTTGAAGGAAGACAGGAAGGAGTATGAAAAGCAATAACCCTAAAAGCTAGAAGAATCCTTACAGAATCATATATCCTGTAAGACTGCAGAGAAGGGTAATAGTTCAAAAACATGATTAACTGAGATAAATTAAGTATGTTGTATAATACAACTCAATTATCATGGTTTCAGGCCTTTCTGAGGTTGACAGCTTAAAAGCCTGCTTGAAGTAAAGGTAAAATAGTTGCAAAAAGAAAGGGAGAGTATTAACGTGGATAGAGAATACACTGCAGAGTATCTTTTGAAATAATCATTAAGTGTACTATCTCTCTTCACTCCTATCATGAGAAACTACTTCATGTAAGGACAATGACTATAGTCAAAGAGAATTTCTAATACCTTCCATTATGCTGGCCCAGATACATGGTAATGAAAAAAGCCAGAATAATGATCAACAAATATCACCACTCATCTCTGACCTGTTCCTAAACCCTTCTCTTGCTAAAATAATCTATGATTCTACATGTATGTGGAAACACAGTTTCATCAAGGGATCACTCATAATAAAGGAGGCTTTATTAAGTGAACATTAAAGGATTTTTTTCTTTTGTGCATAACAGAACAATGAAAATTTGAGCTCAGTAGATATTTAAATATGCATCATAATATGTGTATCCTAGTCATTTTCCTAAAAGTTCTTAAAATCCTTAATGCAAAGTCATTCCTGCTAGCTTTTCCAGGTCACTCTGATTCCCAATGTAACTTCTCATGAAGGCAAATGCAAAATTACCCCTTAATATCTGTAACTTGTCATTAGCTACAACCATGCCTCTAAATACTGATCCTTCTTTTAACAGAGTACGTTTGTTTCTCCTTTTATGCTACATAGTAAACTCCTTACATCAGCAGGTCCAGCCCCTAACTCTCCAGAATTTCTGTGCCCCACACAGAGTTGCAATCAAATAAGGATGCAAGGCGATGACTGTCTTATGATCATTTACTGGTTAAGTGACAACTTCCTACACAGCAGCCTTGCAGAGTAGGTATAATTTAAATTCCTAGGTGAGGAAAATTGCCAATTACTACGTAACATGGACTTTCACTTGTTCATTCTGAGCCCTTCAAGGTTATACGTGAATAGTATAAACTGTGAATGCCAAAAGTATATACCACACATTCTAGGAAAGGCTTTTCATCAAAGAGGATAAGAAAACAAAAAAAGGACATTTACCTGGATTCAACAAAGTCTGGCTCCCCTG